TTATGTTCTTGAATACAGTTTCCCAGTTTTTTAAGTTTCATGAAAAAAGTAGGAGGAAATCTCATTTGACATAATGTCAAATGTAAAAATCTTAAATGTTTAATGTTATCAGCATCTGAATACAATGAAATTGATGATGAAGGTCTTTTTTAAACAAGTAAACTATTTGAAAGGGTACAATAAGTCAAGATGTTTAAGTTAATACATGCTTCTTCTGTACAGTATATTCTAGTTCATGGAGCTATTCATGTCTCAAATTTCACTACATATACATCAGGGTCATGTACTAGTATACCTTATAGGTAAATCAAATATGAAGACAAAATGTACTAATATCAAAATATTATACTAACAATACACAGGGTGAACAATATCACACAAATAACAAGAAGTACTAATAGACTTTATTTAGGTTTACAAAGTTTAGCAATATACTGATTGCATAGTTTGGAATTTATATAAGGGGCTGGAGTATCAATGTTCAGAACAGTTTAAAGGGTTTATAAGGTTTTGTGACAAAAAGTGACATTCTGGCATTTTCAAAATTCAGTATACTAGTGAAAAAGTACAGGGTGGGTCAAAAAAACGTCCATATTTTTGTTTTCCTACAACATTTTCAATATTACGGACAAATGTTTAAATCATATATCATTGGAAAGACAATTCAATTTCCAATAAAATGGTATATAATTTATTTGACATATTTAAGTATTTGTTTAAAAATAACATTTCGATTTACAGATTGCTGAAGAAGAAATGCTAAAAACTGACCAGACAGATATAACACCTATGTCAGCTTTGGGGATATAAGTCTAATTATAGAAGGTCAAAATTGTTGATTTATGTATCAAATGAAAGCAAATTAATTTACAAATAAATATTATTGAGTTATTTTACCATTTTGCAAGGTATGGGTAATATTATAGCCTAAGTAACACGGAGAAATCTGCATCAAATAGTTGAATATTTACTCATTTCAAGATATTTTGGAGATAATGCCTATTATATGCTAGAATTATCATGAAATGATCAACAATGATGTTGTACTTATATACATTAACTGACATTCTGGGTGGCAGACTATGCAATAATAGGGACCAGAAGAGGAAATTATTGAAATGTATTCCATATCATGGGTTATGGCAAAATTTCAACCGAGTTTCTTTGCAAAACAATTTTGAAGCAAATATCAATTTATCTAACAATCTTACTTTATAACAAACCAACAATGCATAAAAATAGGTTCAATGGTTATTTTAGAGCTATACAATGGTTTACAAACAATAAAACTCAACTCCAATACCTTTTCTGCATATGTAAAAGCCTAAATGTGTTGATTAAGCATTGCAATATTATGTATTAAGCTCAAAACATGTAGCGAAATGTTACTCACGTCGAGAGCTACCATATTAGATTTTGAAAGTATAGCTCTCCATCGTGAAGATCTCAAGCTGAAGAATTGTGACATCTAAATTTGATCAGCGCCAGTCAGCGGCTTACTGTTTGTCTCAAACTGTAGCCTACATATGGGCTCATATGTGTCTACTTTCCCCGTGCATGTAGGATCGCGGATGTGCTTCTATGGCGATCAGGAGTTCTAATCGTTTTTTGTTCGATACCCATTTCCAATATGGCGGTTAAACGGAAATATTATCGACGCATGCGCAACTTGGGAAACGTCAAGCCGCCATATTGAATATACCTGGCCAAAACTTTTGACACGACCAATAAAATGAAGTCCTGATCGATACATAGGGCAGTGAGACGTTCTATAGTTGAGCTGAATGAAAGATGGCGATGTAGGATACATTTTCAGGTATATAATGTGCAACATGAGTCAGCTGAATTCCCTGGAATTTTCTTTGAAGTCAGGATTCTTAAGCTGTTGATTCTAGCGATAGAGAGCTATACTTTCAAAATCTAAGTAGCTCTCGACGGGAGTAAGCGAAATGTTGTTTTCGACTGTGACTACCCCATGATATGGATAAGATCATGGAGTCACCAATAGCATTTTACAGGCTTTCCAGGACAGAAAATTTAAAATGGCTGTTCAGACATTTACCCAGCATACCAAAAACATCCCTGAAAATTTCAAATCGATACCTTAAATGATTTGCCTGGAAATAAGTAGACAACATGTGTCACAACCTGCCATCTATTACATACACCAACCACTCAACCCCAACTGTCAAACACCAACCACCTTACACCAAACACCATCAACAATAAAGTTAATGACTACCCTTATGAAAAAAACAACCATTTTTTCCGAATTTAAATGGTTTCATTGCATATCGATAAACCATCGTTTCAACCTTGAAGATCAAAGGAAAAATCTTTATTTCAACCATTTAAAACCATTGCGCAACCATTACTTCATATAATCTTTTCAACCCTTTTTACATTAAGTTGCAATGGTTACGCAACCATTTTTGGGAAACCATTGCGAAACCATTGCGAAACCATTGCAACCATTACTCATTGAAATAAACAGTTGCAATTGATTGCAACCATTGCTGGGGAACTGCAACTATTGCAACCATTATTTTAGTTAACCAGTTTATAAACCAGTTTATTGGCAAAGATTAAATGATTGCTAATTATTAAGCTCATCTGCTTAAGTCAAACTTGTAAAGTCAAAGATGAGGCAGGTCTATTCAGCACACCTATCCTTGTGACATAAAATCAGAACTGAGCTGAGTAACCTGTGACTGAAGTACATGAAGTACATTAATACATTTATAAAGCTGGATCATCCTGGTTTAAATGGTCCTCAAGTCAGGCAAAAATATAAAAAAAAACGTGTGTATTTGTTGGCAAAATATCATTCTACATCTTTATTAGAATTACAAAGGTGCGATACATATTTACATATTATTAACTTTTTGATGTGAGCAAACTTGTAAAGTTCATGTTTTATCTAGAGAAAGGCAACACTTTCTCTTTAATCATAAGCGCTCCTAGCTGTCAGGAATCCAACACATGTATTTCAGATTCAGTCTCTTATGCCCCATTTATTCTCTCATTAAAGAGTTCCGTTTTGGATTTTGTGTGTCCCTAATCTTTTTTCCAATTACTGCTCGGACATCACTCCTCGAACAACTGAACTTGCTTGAGACAAAATCTGAAATCATAGTTTGTGACTTTTAAGTTGAGTGAGAACTTAAAAGAATTTCAAGTTAATTTCATCTCTCTACAATGAAATAAACAAATTGATAGTATATGACATCATATATGGTCTGAAGTGAGCTTTTATCCTTACATTATCAATTTTCTCTTTGAAAATGTGATTTCATGTTTTATTCCCAATAGACCAAAAGATATAAAACCATGAAAAATATTCCCTATACCATGTTATTTGATTCGAATAAGCCACCTGGTGGTGAAACTGGTTACTACCTACTGCAATTACTCTTTGTAATAAAATTTAAGAACCACATCAATTTTATAATATATGTGACCTTGTAATATGTTGCTTATTATGCAAAACTACCTCTAATAATTGCATCATTTGTCTCATGTAACATAGAAGTTACTTTATGATCATTCAATGAAATAACATGTGCACAAATCAAGACCAAATAAAGGACCCATGTTGAGTTCAACCTACCTCGGAGCAAGCTCATAGTATCAGTGGTTCTTTTATACATACAGCCCCTTTCTGAGATCAACATAACACTGAGCAAGCTGTGGTATCAATTGGGTATTGGTTTGTACACAATTTTATGATTACATTATGAATACCTCAAACTGATTCTAAACTGCCTTAAATATGGTTAAAAGGGCAACAAAACTAAAGATGTTAGGGTAAATTTCAAACAATTCAATGGTGACTTTACCCTCTATTTTTGCTGCAGCTTTAACCTTGATTTTTTGAATATACACTTACCAATAATGGCCTGTGTGCGGACTTGGTCAAGGATTCCCACAATCCTTTTACCACTTTGGGATCGCCCAGTTAAATTCATAAACGTTAGCTCCCGATAGGTGAACATACCAACTAACAAGGTTTTCGTGGCCTTGGACTGTTCCCTGGTAGCTAAAGCATTTCGCTTTAAAACCTCTGGTATGGACTGAAAAATCATTATTGAATAGAATTAGACATATTCTGAAGTTTGAACCAGTTGCTCCAATTCTTTTCAGTAAACTGAACAAACTAATTGTGTAATAGGCGAGATGGCAATAGAATTCATGAATATTTTCCTCATTGAATAATCAAAGTGAAAGCAAGTTGTAAATTGCAAAAATGACATTAGAAGTGTGTTTTTTCAAAAATGTTAATCAATCATAAAACTTTCATCTAGGTTGGTTGATTTCCCATATATAAAATAATGAAAAGTGAAACATCTTTAAATGCATAACTCAATATTACAGTTTGCTCCTTACTTATAATATAAGTGTTCCTACTATCACAAATCCCCATGAACTAAAAATAGGATTTTGCAGTCTTGACAAATAAAATGAAGTAAATATACTTACTGTTCTCAACATGATATCTCTTTCACTTTGGCTTCGTGGTGCAACCAGTGCATGCCATTCTGGCTCAGATGTTGGTGGAGGAGATGGAGGAGGGACAGAGCTGTCATCATCATCATCATCATCATCATTGTTACTGTCGAGAGGTGAAATGGATTCCTCTGAAGATGATGGTGAATATAGTGAGAATGTAGATGGTGTTGATGTAAATGTTACTGATGTAGGCTGTACTGATGAGGTAGTGAGGTTGTTAGGAGTTGGTTGCTGGAGCATCCTCTCTAGTAGTCTGTTTTGAACTGAAAAATATACAGAATATTATTAAATATATGTATTTATCTTATGTCCAGTAGGATGAAGTAACAGATAAGTTGATAAGATATATCCAGTATCCACTTTCTTTTTCAAGGAGTACAAAAATTGAGAAATGGCAGTAAATCAAAAAGATAAAGATAATTTTGAAATGCTATTTGATATTCTTTGAGATTTAATTATTGACCTCCAAAATTTGAAAAATTCTGTACATGTGCATATTAAGTATGAAATAACTATTGAACTAAAATCATTCACGATTATTGCTATATTTTAGGGAAAATAGTGTGGAGTCTGTTAATATAGGTTTGTGATTCGCTTAGGAAATATCTGTATCTCTCCTTTATTCAGGCATAGAGTATTCAGAACTATTTCCTAAGTATTCATTCAAAACATAGATTACTTACATTGCAATTGTTCATTGTGCTTAAGGGTTATAGATTCCCACACTTTTAACTGTTGGCTGTGAGTTGTCTGATGATTGAGGGTCAATATCTCCCAAACTCTACACTGGTGGTTTTGTAGTTGTTGCTGTGCCTTTTGCGAATCCATCATGTGTTGTACCAGCTGTTGGACTGTTGGATTGGATTGTGTATACATTGACTGATTAGGAACAGAAGGTGGAGACACAGGATTGGGTTGGATAAATTGGGAAATGTTCAAATCTTGAGGTTCTTGAGAGTTCAAAAGGTCCAAAAAATTAGAAGTCACAGGATAAGAGGAAGGCAAGCCAGAAGTAACTGGAAGAGTAGGCTGCTCAGAAGTGACAGAAAGAGAAGTAGGCAGGCTACAAGTAACAGGAGGAGTGGTAGGCTGGTCAGAAAATACAGGAATTGAGGAAGGCAAGCCAGATGTAACAGGAAGAGAAGTAGACAGGCCAGACATAACAGGAAGAGAAGTAGGCAGGCCAGACATAACAGGAAGAGAAGTAGGCAGGCCAGAAGTAACAGGAAGAGAAGAGGTTAAACCAGAAGTAACAGGAAGAGAAGTAGGCTGGACAGAAGTGACGGGAAGAGAGGAAGGCTGGTCAGAATTGACAGATAGAGAGGTAGACTGGTCAGAAAAAACAGGAAGAGAGGTAGGCTGGTCAGCAGTAACAGGTTCAGTGGTAGACTGGTCAGAAGTAACAGGAAGACAGGTTGACTGGTCAGCAGTAACAGGTTCAGTGGTAGACTGGTCAGAAGTAACAGGAAGGGAGGTTGACTGGTCAGCAGTAACAGGTACAGTGGTGGACTGATCAGAAGTAACAGGAAGGGAGGTTGACTGGTCAGGAGTAACAGGTACAGTGGTAGACTGGTCAGAAGTAACAGGAAGGGAGGTTGCCTGGTCAGGAGTAACAGTCTCAAGTTGATGGGACAGAGAATCACATTTGCCATTATTGGATTTGGAAAGCATGGATGTATTGGGATTGGGTGTCGTTGGAAAGAGAAGTTCCATCTGCTTTCTTCTAGCTTCCCTTTGGATTGCTTTGGCACCTGTAAATATCCAATGAAAAGGAAGGTGTTTTAAGAAATTATGTTGGTAGTATATGAATACAATATAATTAAGTTTGCCAATTTGTATGTTTTTTGGATTCACATTAACTTGACTCCGTAAATTGACGCCCAGGCATGTAGTCAGGGGAAGGGGTAAACAAAGTCATAACCCAACAATTGGTCAATTTACCAGGGTGTAACTAGATAATGACAACTCTGCGGAATAGCAAATCCCAACGAACAAAATATCAATTACCGAATTCCAATCAATTATACTCATTACTTTGGTTTAAATTAAAAAATTTAGATTTTAGAATTGCGAATCCCTGCAAAGCAGCCATTTTGAATTTTCTGAGGTACAAATCTGAAAAATAATACCATAATTGTGATCTACTCCAAAATTCCTTCAATTTGAGTATTATATAGCCATACTTTGAAGGGATCGAAAAATTATTGCGAAATCGTACATAAGACGGCCATTTTGAATTTTACGAGGCTCGGATCAGAAAAAAGATACAATATTTGCAATCTACTCTTAATTGCCTTTCATTTGAGTATAATAAAGCTATACTTCAGAAAGATCTAAAAATTAGCGAAAATTTCTGTTTTCTTGACCCCCCATACACGGTCCCTGGGGGTCAGGATGAAAAACATGGAATACATGTGAAAAAGATAGATGTTGCAAATATACTACAAAATTTCAAACAATAATATTAATTACTTTGGTTTAGAATGAAAAATTTATGATTTTTGCGAAAAACTCCCGTCATTTTTAAAGCGGCGGCCATCTTAAAAAAAATTTTTTGCGTAAAACTATTTATCAATATACATCTTTCCACCAAATATGAAGAAAATCCGTCAACTAATATTTGAGTTATCTTCCGGACGGACGGACTGACTGACTGACGGACGGACGGACGGAGGGCTTCACTATATCCCTACCGAACTTCGTTCGTTGGGATAATGAGTGGGAATTACACAAGACTGTTCTATTTAAAGAGAGAATCAGATCTAGCGAGCAACCCGTAAAATAAATTGTTTCAATTTTAGAATATTTCTGGCTCATGTCATTTCTTTTCATGTCTATTTTCTGAAAATCCCAAAAGTGCATACTTTATTTCAGCAAAACTAAAGATTTTTATAATAATGTATTATTTTTCTATAAAAATGGTTTTATTATTATTTTTCACTCATTTTTGCACTTTGAATCCATTATAACTTCATCAATTTATAACATATCGTGAACCTTTTGGGAGATATTGTATTGTAAAAAACTACCTAATTTCCCTCCAAAATAATCATTTGAAAACAAAATTGATTATCAAGAGACTTACTTTGAGGTTTTCCCTTGCTCTTTTCTACAGGTTTTGTGGATGGCTGCTTTTGCCTCTTTTTTCTCTTCACTAGGTTTGGTATTTCAGAATCATCTTTCAGCTCATCATGTTGGTCAAAGCTCCTCCTTTTTTTAGAACAGCCTAAAATCAGGTAATGCAACAATTACCAAGGTGCAAGGACCTATTTTCAAGTTTCACCACCAGATGGCTAATTCAGCTCGAATTACATGGAAGAAAGGTTCTTTTCTAAACTACAATATATACTAGGTTTAAGCATCGACTTTCATGAAACTGTGATAATTAACAAGGCATTTAGGAAGTGATTGGAGGCACTTTGGTCAGGGTGTTGTTGAGCAAATGATCCTGTGACTTAGGTTATGTTTTATTTTCAGAAGGGTTTGACCAATATTCAACAAAGATTGATTGAGAAATAAGATTTTCAGTTCCATTCCTATGAGTGTCTTTCCAGTCCCCTTTTATGATTTATAGGTGAAAATATTTATTATTTTCAAAAATTGATTTGCATTCCAGATATGGTTCCTCTTACCCCCCCCCCCCCCTCCCCAGGAATCTGAATTTAAGGGTCAAAAATGCAATTTTGACATGTTTCGCACCAAACACATGGTGACATTAAAATGTAATGATAATTTAAAAAGTTTTGTATTCACCTTTTTCCTTTTTTTTGTCCAGGTCTGCTCTGAACTTGGTATCAAAGTTCCGACACTCGGAATCATCATCTGGAATTACAAAGTTGAGAATCATGATAATCACTATAGCTATAACATTTCATTTCAACATTATAAAACAAATGTAAATTCAATCAATAAAATATATACAAATTAAAATAACCAGATATAATTATACTTAATTTTATTACTAGGAAGTGAAATCTGATTATCCTGATTGCTGATTGTAATACATGGTTTTTATGAGGAAGATACACAAGGCAGATTGGTTACCATCTATCTAAAGATTTCAATTTGTATTCTGAAACATACTTTTTTAATGTGATCATACTGATGAGTTTACACTTACTTGACATAAATACTATTTCCGCAGTTATGCCCATGCATTTGGTATGCATCACCTGTGTCCCTTCTTTCATTTCCTCTCCCTTTGTCACAACCACCAGTTGCGATGACATAGTGATGAGGGTTTCATCTGTCTGTTTGTAGTAAACTACACTATTCTTCTTTGGAGCTAAACAGAAAAAATTCACTTGTTTGTATATTATAAACTAGTAAAATCTAATTCCGAGGAATTCATACACATATTCTTTATGATTCAAACACTAATCTGGTATAGTTTTGAAAGAAAATGAATTAGAGGGAAATTTTGTAAGAAAATAAAGATTTTTTTCTTTAAATTTTATTTTTTAAATTTGCTCCCTCATTTTTATGGTGGTACTGCTCTCTCATTACATTACTAGTAATAATGTTGCACAGACAGAGCGGCAACGGTTGAAATGCTAATTATAACCATTGAAATGCTAATTATAACCATTGAAATGCTAATTATAACCATTGAACAGCCAATTAGATAAAGTTCTGTTTTGATAGTAGGCTAAAATCATTAGAAATTATTTCATTTCACTCTTTTAAGAAATTTTTGTTTCGTCTGAATATATTTTTTAATTTTTCAAATTCAACCCATTATGAATCTGACACAATCATAGTTAAGTAAATTCATCAGAAAAAATATGATTCACATTAAGATTTTTAAAGCCAGCTAAGAGTTCTTTCTCCTTTAGCAATACTTAGTATAGAAGGAAACAATAAAACTTTTTAGACATATATTCAGACCACAACTAGCAGATATGACTTCAAGGTCATGCTGGTACTGAGTATACTGCAGCTAGTTCATGCTCTTGGGCATATTATATCTATTTAATTTGAGAGAATAATGAAAATGCATATTGGTACTGAGTATGGTTAATTCATGCTCATAGGCATATTATTTATACTTAATTGGAGAGAACTGGAAATACATATTGGTACCAGGTACTGATTCTAGTTCAGGTTGATTACCCATAGACCCTGTGTTACCTGGTTGCAAAAGCACAAAATGTGAAATATCCTTTCTCCTATTGGACAGATAACATTTTCTTTTACTGGACATGTTTTAATTTGCATTAGAATTAGAATAGATAAATATTATTTCTATTAAATTGGAGAGAATAATGAAAATGCATATTGGTACTTGGTATAGCTAGTTCATGCTCATAGGCATATTATTTCTATTAAATTGGAGAGAATAATGAAAATGCATATTGGTACCGGTTATGGTTAGTTCATGCTCATAAGCATATTATTTCTTTTTAATTTGAGAGAACAATGAAAATACATATTGGTAGCGGGTATGGTTAGTTCATGCTCATAGGCATATTATTTCTATTTAATTGGAGAGTATAATGGAAATGCATATTGGTACTAGGTATGGTTAGTTCATGCTCTTAGGCATATTATTTCTTTTTAATTTGAGAGAATAATGGAAATGCATATTGGTACTTGGTATACTGTAGCTAGTTCATGCTCATAGGCATATTATTTCTATTTAATTGGATAGAATATTGGAAACACATTTGAAATTTACATGTAAAGGTACATCTAGAAATGTGGTTTCGAAAATTGTTGATCAACTTTGAAAATGTAATTGTTTTTGAAAATGTGACTTCTAGTTTGGGTCAATTCCACATAGACATGTTATTAATTAGTTGGGGCTGTTCATAAAACTAACTGATCAATCAAATTGGCCCCTACATGATTAGTAACGTCATATACAAAATATAGCTTTGGTTTATTGGTTCCTTAGTAATCACAACATCATGGCAACCATAGGAGAGAATGATGAAACATGCTTATTGGTACTTGGTATACTGTAGCTAGTTCATGCTCATAGGCATATTATTATTTCTATTTTATTGGAGAGAACAATGGAAACGCATATTGGCACTTGGTATAGCTAGTTCATGCTCATAGGCATATTATTTCTATTTAATTTGGGAGAATAATGAAAAAATATATTGGTACTTGGTATAGCTAGTTCATGCTCATAGGCATATTATTTCTATTTAATAACGCCACCAGGTGGCTTGTTCGGGTCAGATAACATGGCGGGTATAGTAGAAAGTTCCCTTTAACTTAAATTACATCTGTTTTCGTGGTTCAAGTTTTGTATAACCCTTACGTATCTAATAGTTATAGAGATTAAAATATGTACAGTAAAAGAAAATGTTATCTGTCCAATACAAGAAAAGATATTTCACTTTTTGTGATTTTGTAACGTGGGGTTTTTGAGGAATCAACCCGAGCTAGAAGTCACATTTTCAAAAAATTAAATTTTCAAAGTTGATAAACACTTTTCGAAACCATTTTTCTATACGTACTTTTACATGTAGATTTCAAATATGACATCACTCTGACTGAATTTTGAATATTTAATAACGTAAATCAAGATTATTTCTATTCGCATCCAGTCTATTGGAGAGAATAATGGAAATGCATTTTGGCACTTGGTATAGCTAGTTCATGCTCATAGGCATATTATTTCTTTTTAACTTGGGAGAATAATGAAAAAATATATTGGTACTGGTTATGATAAGTTCATGCTCATAGGCATATTATTTCTATTTAATTGGGGAGAATAATG